CCCCATCCCCCATTTTCTCTCCCCTACACCCCCCAACTGTCCCCTGTGTGTGATGCTCCTCTCCCTGAGTCCACGTGTTCTCGTTGTTCAACACCCACCTATGAGTGAGAACATACGGTGCTTGGCTTTCGGTTCTTGGGTCAGTTTGCTGAGAATGATGGTTTCCAGATTCATCCAAGTCCCCGCAAAGGACATGAACTCATCATTTTTGATGGCTGCGTAGTATTCCATGGTGTATATGTACCACATTTTCTTTGTCCAGTCTGTCATTGATGGGCATTTGGGTTGGTTCCAGGTCTTTGCTATAGTACGCAGGGCTGCAATGAACATATGTATGCATGTGTCTTTATAGTAGAACGATTTATAGTTCTTTGGGTATATACCTGATAGTGGGATTGCTGAGTCAAATGGAATTTCTACTTTTAGATCCTTGAGAAATCGCCACACTGTCTTCCACAATGGTTGAACTAATTTACACTCCCACCAACTGTGTAAGAGTGTTCCTATTTCTTGCAAATCCACATTTATTTTCAGTGAGATTTGGAAATGTCTTTATCAAGTAATTCAAGGAAAGAGTATATTAAACTATATCTTTTTAAATTTTATTTTTGACAAGCAACCATTATATGTATCTATGAGGTACAGTGAGATGTTTTGATGATGTTTACATTGTGGAATGATTAAATCAAGCTAATTAACACATCTATCACCTCATTTACTTATCATTTTTTGTGGTGAAAGCATTTAAAATCTAGTCTTTTTAGCAATTTTGAAATACATATTGCATTATTGTTTATTATTGTCACCATTCTGTACAACAGATGACTGAAGCTTCTTCCTCTGTCAGCTGAAACTCTGTGCCCTTTGATCACTAACTCCTCCTCCTCTACCCACCCCTTCCCCGGGCCTCCGGTAACCACCATTCTACTCTCTACTTCTATGAGTTCAACTTCTTTAGATTTCACATAGAACTGAGATCATGCAGTATGTATCTTTCTGTGTCTGGCTTATTTCACTTGGCCTAATGTTCTCCAGGTTCATTCATATTGAAGCAAATAACAGGATTTTCCTCATTTTAAAGGCTAAATTATATTCCATTGTGTATATATACCATATTTTCTTTATCCATTCATCTGATGTTGGACATTAAGGTTGCTTCCATATTTTAACTTGTGAATAACATTCCAGTGAACATAGGAGTGGAAATATCTCTTGGGTATAGGAATTTCAATTCCTTTGGATATACGTCCGATATGATCATCCTACTTTTAGTTTTCTGAGGAACTCCCACACTGTTTTCCATAATGGCTGTATTAATTTACTTTCCCACCAACAGTGTACAGGAGTTCACTTTTTTCCACACCTGCATCAACTTATTATCTTTTATCTTTTTGATAATAATGTTCTAACAAATTTGTGATGATATTCCATTGTGGTTTTAATTTGCATTTCCCTGATGATTAATGATGACCAGCACTTTTAAAATCCTCATTTGTCCCTTTGTAGGTGTTTTCTGAGAAGCGTCTGTTTAGGTTCTTTGCTAATTTTTTGATTGTGATATTTATTTTCTTGTTAATGAGTTGTTCGTGTTTCTTATATATCTTCTATGTTAGCTTCTTATCTGATGTATGGTTTGCAGATATTTTCTCCAAGTCCTTGGGTTGTCTCTTTGCTCTATCAATTGTTTCCTTTGCTGTGCAGAAACTTTTTAGTTTGATGCAATTCCATTTGTTTGTTTTTGCTTTTGTTGCCTGTGCTTTCGGAATCATATCTAAGAAATCTTTGCCCAGACCAATATTCAGGAGCATTTTTCTTATGTCCCTTCATAGATTCACAGACTCAGGTCTCATATTTACGTCTTTAATTCATCTTGAATTGATTTTTGCATATGGTGTGAGGTAGGGTACAATTTCACTTGTTGATATCCAGTTTTCCCAATACCATTAATTGAAGAAGTGATCTTTTCTCCATTGTGTGTTCTTAGCACTTTTGTCAGAACTCAATAGACCATAATGTGCGGATTCATTTCTGGGCTGTCCTGTTCTGTTGGTTAATGTGTCTGTTTCTATGCCAGTGGTATGCTGTTTTGATCTATAGCTAGGTAATGGATTTTGAAGTCAGGTAGTGCAATGCCTCCAGCTTTGCTATTTTTGCCCAAGATTCTTTTGGTTATTTGAGATCTTTTGTGCTTCTGTACACATTTTAGGATTTTTTTCTTTGCTGTGAAAAATGACTTTGAAATTTTGATAGGGATTGAATCTCTACATCACTTTGGGTAGTATGGGCATTTTAACAATATTAAATCCCAATCCATGAAAACAAAAACATTTCCATTTCCAATCATTCAATCCATAATGATGTTTCAGTTACTCTACAATGTACTGCATAGATCACAGTGGCTCATAAGATTATAATGGAGCTGAAAAATTCCTATTTCCTAGTGATATCTTGATGGTCCTGACCCTTTGTGGACCTTGGCTAATGCGTGTATGCGTGTGTATGTGTGTGTGTGTGTGTGTGTCTCCTAGTTTTTAAGAAAAAAGTTTAAAAAATATGTATAATAGAAAAACCTTATAGAATAAGTATATAAAGAAAGAAAATATTTTTGTACAGTTGTATAATGTGTTTGTATTTTACATGATTATCACAAAAGTAAAAAAGTTAAATAAAAAATGTTATGAAGTCAAAATGTTACAGTAACCTAAGGTTAATTTATTATTGAAGAAAAAATGTTT